TGTCCCACTGATGGCCATTTAGTACTCTTTTACGCAAAAGGTTTTTAAGAACGGAGTAATTGGAATTGAGATCAGAAGCCAAGTTGACAGGTGGGTGATAGCGATCGAAAATATTCCTCAGCACCGTTGTTCCACCATCGATGAGAAGCCTGCTCAGCTTGTTTCCATTTGTCTTCGCTGGAGAGCTGGCCAGGGGTGAAGGTGCTGCAGTCGCCATTTAGCAAATTTGATGCAGAAGAAAACGTTCATGTCTTGGAAATTCATTCTTAACCTACATTGGCAAGAAAGATAAAACGTGAGTCAGACCACAACGATCAACTCGCTCCGTCGTTGCTTTCATTTGTTTTGTTTTTTATTTTTATTTTCATGATTACAAGACCATGAAACTTTACAAACGAAGTCACGCGTTAAGGAGTTGGCGAATATTGTTTGTAATCCGTACAAATTAGAAATATGACAATTAGGAAAGAATGACTGGAATGACTATTATAAGGAAAAACCAATGCTTTCAAGAAGGGTGTTTAACACGTTTGCTATCGATGGTATTTAGTGAACACAACAACTAGATTTACGATTGTGGACGATATGAGTTGGTTAACCAAGCGCATTATTAGCAGGAGAACAGCTTTTGAACTCTCAGGGTTCCGCTTTACTGATATTAGGGAGTTTAGTTGGTTTAATTACAAGAGACAAGACTTTTCCTTTTTGCATGGAAGAAAGTACATAAGAAGTTCAGAAATCATTTACTACCAGATTGTTTGTTAGAACCAAGCATTATGCATTATCGGTTTATCAGTATCGGTTTATCGATTTCCAAAGAGAACAATACGATGATGAAAATAATCTACCTAAGCAACACAACGTTAACACTGAAGTACAAAACAGATAAGAAAACTTACAACAACTCAGACATGGACCATATCAAGTTTCTCATATGCGTGACACTCAATATGAGAAGCAAGATAACTAAGCACACCCTAACTGTCGTCATAATTATATTGCCTGTAGTAATCCATATTGACTCCATGGCAATTAGCTTTATCGGCCTTGTAAGTCATCATTCGACTGTATTCACTCAGAATCGATATGACCACTAGCTTTTCCTTCACTTGTGGATGCTTTTTTTCACTATTTTGACGGCGAATGGGCTGCTTGTTTATCTGTTGTTGCCAAAAAGGCAAAGGAGCAGTATTGTGTCATATAAAACGCGCAATGACTGCGGCTGGGTTATCAACCGTGTCAGCCTTTAGACGTGCACAATACTTTACGTTTACCTACGATTTTAACAGCGAGGGCAACAGAGAAGCATAAACTTGCCGACATCCTTTTTAGTAGACAGAAAAGGGGTGGTATGCTACGACTTATAATATGTGTATGTATTTGAACTGGCTGGTCACAGGCGTTCATGACTAAAACCGGCGACCTAGTTTCGTCACTGAGNCAACTCAGACATGGACCATATCAAGTTTCTCATATGCGTGACACTCAATATGAGAAGCAAGATAACTAAGCACACCCTAACTGTCGTCATAATTATATTGCCTGTAGTAATCCATATTGACTCCATGGCAATTAGCTTTATCGGCCTTGTAAGTCATCATTCGACTGTATTCACTCAGAATCGATATGACCACTAGCTTTTCCTTCACTTGTGGATGCTTTTTTTCACTATTTTGACGGCGAATGGGCTGCTTGTTTATCTGTTGTTGCCAAAAAGGCAAAGGAGCAGTATTGTGTCATATAAAACGCGCAATGACTGCGGCTGGGTTATCAACCGTGTCAGCCTTTAGACGTGCACAATACTTTACGTTTACCTACGATTTTAACAGCGAGGGCAACAGAGAAGCATAAACTTGCCGACATCCTTTTTAGTAGACAGAAAAGGGGTGGTATGCTACGACTTATAATATGTGTATGTATTTGAACTGGCTGGTCACAGGCGTTCATGACTAAAACCGGCGACCTAGTTTCGTCACTGAGGCAGAAATGTGAACATATGTCTCCTCACTACTGAGGGTTGCAAAAAATATTCCTTCGTTCGATATTATTAACTCTGGTCATGACTTCTGCTAGATATCGAGCACATAAGCTAATGGCGACAGAAGCTTTGAATTAAAAACTACATTGAGCTTGTAGCTAGAAGCTAATAGAGCTTTAGAGAATTTAAGGTCAGTTATGATATTTGCCTTCATAAATTGTTTATCAGTTTATTGCTAAAAATCTTCTGAAAGCTTTGAAGGTTGCAAAGTGTCGGAATCGATAGGAATTTTTCAGAATCTCGAAAATCAAAAGTGATATAAATAAAACTACACTACGTGGTAATAAATGCTCTGTGAAACGACCTGTGGGGTACGCAATGCCCTGAAGCTTATCTTCAATTAAGTTACCTTTCTACTGCCACATTCTCTTGCGAAGCCTCTTCCATGTAGATTCCTGTACATGTTTCACAGAGAAACAAAGTGTTCTAAGTGACGTGGCCCATCGATGAATCTAAAATTTAGAACGTTTAAGCATGACAAGCTCTTGTCTGCATTTGCATAGACTGATCTTGTTTGACTGTTTCGAAAACTTTGCAATTAGAAGGAAGGAGTGTCATTTTTGTTTTGCTTCAACGAGCGCCAATGGGCAGGCGTTTATTTATAATCCAACAAATACGTCATAGTCTTAGATGGGGGCGAAAAAGAAAAGGGCGCGCGAGGGGAACACGCCACGCAGGCTATGTTCCGCCGACTCATTTCTCTTTGACAGAACTGTCGTCATGGATAATAGTAGTTTAGAGAAGCTGTTGAGGATTACGATAACGAAAAAGAACAGAAACAACGACAGCAATCACCCTCTTACGATACTCTCTTGCTCTTACTCAAATTTTGCAGAAGTCAGGGTTCGAATCTCGGTAAGCCTGAATTTTTTCAGGCTTTCTTTTAGCTTCTTTTCGCAACTGCATAAGTTGCCTGCATATTTAACTGTGATGACCTTCTCTGCATTTATTTCTGCATAATCAGTTCCTCACTCCAGAGACCACAAGGGTAATGGGTACAAGCTTTCGGCGTAATGATTTCTGGGATAGTTTTGGTGGACAAGTGTTAGTTATGATTGGTCGATGGTATTCAAGGCAACCATTAGCCAATCATTAGTAACGCTTGTCCTCCCATACTATCCCAGAAATCGTTGCGCCGAAAGCTTATACTCATTCCTTTATAGTTTCTGGAGTGCTGGGAAACTTTACATAAAGGTCGAGGAAGGTGAGTAGAAAGCTAACTATCGTTGCAATATCTCCACTTGCTCTTTAAGAGGCACCAACAGCAAACTCACTGTTCTTCTTCCCTTTTCAAACCTTATGAAAAATAGTTTCAGTTCCTCTGGAGCAGTTCTTTGGAATAACCTTCGTCCTGAGCTGAGGCAGGCAAACTCTCTTGGGGCCTTCAGGGATGGCGGGTTGTTGTACACTAAAAGTAATTAGGGACTTTAAGATCCAACGACGCGGACGGTAACGAGAACGCCAAAAAAACAATAGATTTGATTAGCAAAACAATAACTTTGCACGTGCACCGTGCTTTTTTGTACATTTCTCTGCCGTTTTTGCCGACTACGACGTGAACATGCGTAATTTCGCGTTTTACGGAGGACGTAAACAAGCAACGACGAAATTTAATATCTCTTACTGTACTCGGATATGGTGCCTACGAATTCAACTCCAGGAGGGTTCGCCTACATTTGACAAAGTAAGTGGGTAGGAATAACTGCGATATAGACTGAAAGAACGTAAATTCACTTTTTGAGCGACGTTCTCATTGCCGTCGCGTCCTTGGATTTTAAAGTCCGTATTAACAAATAAAGAAGCCTAGACTGTACTTTGATCTGTTGTAAGGCACTTAGGAAGCGGCTAGAGCACTCAAGAAGTGTAGTAGTCAGGAGGCAGCTCGCCAAAAAACGATTTTCGCTAAACATTTTGAGTAGAAGCAGGCAACATAGCTTAAAATCTTCGTCTTGCCATCCTAATTAAGAATTGTGCTGTTGCCCACTCCAAATGTTATGATATCTGTCATTAAGCAGGTTTTTTTGTCTAGCTCCTCGCTCCTGCAGCATGAAAACGAGGCTGAACTGTAACATTTATATAAACCCAATAAAAAGTGCACAATACGATGGGGAAATAGCTGAATCTTTGCCACTTGACGTTTAGAGCTCGATAGACAATAGTGTGGGAGATAAAATTTGTCACGTGATCAGTTATGAAGAGTCACGTGACTTTCCAACAAAATCGATTTTAAAGCATAAAAGACGCTCTATTCACACTTTCCTTTAATATAGTTTTCAACTTACTGACGTTTCTCTTTTCGATTTACAGATCCAACAATAAAAACACAAAAATGCAATAGGTGATCAGCTATGATGGGTCACGTGATGTAATGAAATCATTCTATTTTCAGTCATTCTATAGCGTTTCCAACCTATGTAACATTTTCCATGAGTTATGGTTTTTCATGTAAAAAAACTGAACTTTCTTCTACTTGGCCGCACGCTTTAAGCCAAAGTATCTTATATTACACAAGACCACCATGTGACTTCCACCTTATCAAAGTTATAGGTCATGCTTCATTCGCCTCTGCTGCAGTGTTCCTGTCGTTTCTGCATCTGTCGCCACATTTACATGCCTTGGAACAGCAAAGAGATAGTTTAACGCAAGTGCAGCGTCGGTTAACACAGCATCCGCCTTCTCGGGAGCACCCACAGTATGCTAACTGTAAACACGCCGATGACACTTGTTCTAGTGTCATTAACTTTGGCTTCAGAAGGCCTTCACTGTAGTACCATCCGCTGTCTTCAGCCTTTGGGAGAGAAGGATATGGTTCCAGCGTTTTATTCCATACCATGGTCTAATAGTTTGCCCGCTTTGTGTGGAGAATCAGTGCATCTTTAGTCGGAGGTAGGGCGTCGAGATCTTTCTTAGATTTGCGAAACGCTGCTGCTCTTTCTTTGTCGATTTCCACCTTTTGTGTTCCCGGATCGTAGAGTTTGCATACAAAGGCTTCAGCTCCGGCAAGAACGTCAGCACTGATTTGGCTTTCTTCTCCAAGGTGTTCCAAGATGTCAGGTGCNCTTTTCGATTTACAGATCCAACAATAAAAACACAAAAATGCAATAGGTGATCAGCTATGATGGGTCACGTGATGTAATGAAATCATTCTATTTTCAGTCATTCTATAGCGTTTCCAACCTATGTAACATTTTCCATGAGTTATGGTTTTTCATGTAAAAAAACTGAACTTTCTTCTACTTGGCCGCACGCTTTAAGCCAAAGTATCTTATATTACACAAGACCACCATGTGACTTCCACCTTATCAAAGTTATAGGTCATGCTTCATTCGCCTCTGCTGCAGTGTTCCTGTCGTTTCTGCATCTGTCGCCACATTTACATGCCTTGGAACAGCAAAGAGATAGTTTAACGCAAGTGCAGCGTCGGTTAACACAGCATCCGCCTTCTCGGGAGCACCCACAGTATGCTAACTGTAAACACGCCGATGACACTTGTTCTAGTGTCATTAACTTTGGCTTCAGAAGGCCTTCACTGTAGTACCATCCGCTGTCTTCAGCCTTTGGGAGAGAAGGATATGGTTCCAGCGTTTTATTCCATACCATGGTCTAATAGTTTGCCCGCTTTGTGTGGAGAATCAGTGCATCTTTAGTCGGAGGTAGGGCGTCGAGATCTTTCTTAGATTTGCGAAACGCTGCTGCTCTTTCTTTGTCGATTTCCACCTTTTGTGTTCCCGGATCGTAGAGTTTGCATACAAAGGCTTCAGCTCCGGCAAGAACGTCAGCACTGATTTGGCTTTCTTCTCCAAGGTGTTCCAAGATGTCAGGTGCATCTTCGAAGACTTTCCATGCCGAAGCCTTGCCCATACCATAGAACTGGCTTGTCGTACCACAGCCAGTAATGGCATGAAATGCCAAAGGCGACTTCCTCTTCTCCTCGGAGAGCGGGATTCTGTGAACTGGTATGTAACGCCTTTGTCTTGATGTACACGCAAACATCCATATCTCTTGACAAAGCTGCTCTCGGTGTGCCAAAAGGAGGACAAGAACGTCCGTATCACGACACAAAATGTTGACTTGCTTGTACCCTCTTGCTGCTACGTCTCGGGCATGCAGTACTATTCTAGTATCTACCTCCTCATGATCTGATGCGAGCTCTCTTATATCTTGTCGTGATGTGTCAGATGACCACACTTTCAGTGTATCCTTGAAGCCTCCATTGATCACCAGCTCTCGCCCAGGAGGCGCGCTGTAACTCTCCGAGATGTCAGTCGAGAGGAAATGAGGTAGGCTAGCCTTGTTATCTTCTAGAATGATGAACCTCTCCCAGTTTCCAATTCTCTAATCTCTGTTATCCACATTGCGCCTAATCCCTGTACTCTTTTTCTCCTTGCGCTTGTCTCTGGTTCCTCCTTTTATCGACTTCTTGACATATCTGTCAAATAGCAGGTCAACCCTTGTATAGCCTCCCCCGCAGACATTCTTAGGCGTTCGTCACGCGTTCCCTCCGTGACGCACGCCTAAGAATGTCTGCAGGGGAGGCTAGACCCCAGGGGCAGTCTGCGAAAGCATCTTCATGTCTGCTAGAAATATGACGCCCCATCTGGTGTAATTCGAGTGGTCGAAAGCTGCAAAATAGGATAGCATTTCGGAGAACGAAGAGAGATCAACTACTTGATTGAGCCAGATAAACCCCCTAAAGGCTCGGACACAGCAAAACATTGCGCGCAGTAAAGACAGATCCCACTTCCCTTCCCGGATCGCACGCGTAAACCTCAGTAAGATGGACACCAGTTTCATGTATTGCCTCCAGTAACAGAACGAGGGTTGTCATGATGTGCGGCATCAAAAGCTTTGATGATATGTGCAGCTTGTCCAACTTCATTAACAAGCTCATTGCTAGTCAGGGCATCTACTAATGCATCATCGTCGTTCTTAGTCGTTAACTTAGTGACCAATGTTTCCAACAGATTGAAGCTCATATTTACCCCATGAAACATTCATTTCTAATAGAAAATAATTCCTGAAGAGCTTACTGAAACAATTAATCGATCACGCTATTCACACTGCTAAGGCTAATTCAGTATCTATTCAATGGTTGCTATCTAGTCACGTGACCCATCATAGCTGATCACCTATTGCATTTTCGTGTTTTTATTGTTGGATCTGTAAATCGAAAAGAGAAACGTNTGTATTGCCTCCAGTAACAGAACGAGGGTTGTCATGATGTGCGGCATCAAAAGCTTTGATGATATGTGCAGCTTGTCCAACTTCATTAACAAGCTCATTGCTAGTCAGGGCATCTACTAATGCATCATCGTCGTTCTTAGTCGTTAACTTAGTGACCAATGTTTCCAACAGATTGAAGCTCATATTTACCCCATGAAACATTCATTTCTAATAGAAAATAATTCCTGAAGAGCTTACTGAAACAATTAATCGATCACGCTATTCACACTGCTAAGGCTAATTCAGTATCTATTCAATGGTTGCTATCTAGTCACGTGACCCATCATAGCTGATCACCTATTGCATTTTCGTGTTTTTATTGTTGGATCTGTAAATCGAAAAGAGAAACGTCAGTAAGTTGAAAACTATATTAAAGGAAAGTGTAAATAGAGCGTCTTTTATGCTTTAGAATCCATTTTATTGGAAAGTCACGTGACTCTTCATAACTGATCACCTGACGCATTTTATCTCCCACACTACTGTCTATCGAGCTCTAAACATCAAGTAACAAAGATTCAGCCATCGTATTGTGCACTTTTTATTGGGTTTATATAAATGTTACAGTTCAGCCTCGTTTTCATGCTGCAGGAGCGAGGGCCTAGACAAAAAAACCGCTTAATGACAGATATCATAACATTTGCAGTGGGCAACAGCGCAATTCTTAATCAGGATGGCAAGATGAAGATTTTAAGGCATGTTGCCTGCTTCTACTCAAAATGTTTAGCGAAAATGAAAAATGAGCGCCCTGCGTGACAGGGCTTCCTGACTATAGGAGGAAACGAGAAAAACGTAGTTGAGTGTTTCTCCCTACTTCTTGAGTACTCTAGCCGCTTCTTAAGTGCTTTACAACAGAACAGAGCGCAGTCAAAGCTTCTTTATTTGCCTTATGATAAAAAATCCGTTAAATTCCCCTCGCGTTACTTCCTAATTTTTAAAACAAATTATTGGCAGATGGCGTGACAGCTTTAGCTTCGTGTTTAATAGTGAACTTACGCAACAGGACGGGAGAGGGAAGAAGACGGCAAACCTTGTGTGACAAGCGTGACAATAATTTTGTTTGAAATAACTTTTCGCCAAAATTCACTTTCCTTTAAAAGACCAGAAAACATTGATCTAAAGAGAAGATCACGACAAAACACGTAAGAAATAGCCTTGTCACGTTTGTCACACACGAGCGTTCTGCCGTCCTCTTCTTCCTGCCGTCGTGTTGCGTAAACTCACTAATATCTCATAAAGCACCCTTTTTCAACCAATCAGAGTACGCGTAATATCTGGACTTGATTACAAAAAGAGATAGAAGATAGCACCTAACGTCGATTACGTAGGGAGTGGTCGCCCAGTCTCCCAAGCAAGGCACTCAGGTAAAAAAACGCCCTACCAAGTACTATAAAATGTATTCTTATCTGAAAATTTGCCTACCGAATTTTTTAATAAGAAGAAAAAACTTAAGGAGAATAGGAAACCCGGCTGAATAACGAGCTTTCCGGTATAATTACCTCTTGCATATTAGCCTCGTTTTGGTCTCGGTACTGTAAATTACGGACCAAGCTTTTCCATCGATTCATTCCCGCTTGGGTTATAAATTGATGGAAAGAAAACAAGGTTCTTTAATTTAAAGTACGGACCGAGAAAACGAGGCTAACAAGATGTATTTTGTATGACTTCCTGTTTGGGGACCGGAAACAAGTGCAGGACAAGCGATGTGACAGTAATTTGATAGGCTTCAGAAAAAAAAAGTTTTTATTGGCTCACGAAAAAAATAGCACATTACAAAGTAGAAGCTTGTCAAGGTGGGTTTGTCATCATTGTTAAACGATTCGCTTCTTATTCTTTAGGGAAACGTCTCAAATCTCTTCCAGTCCATTCTCGTCTTCTTAACCTTCAGAACCTTGACCCTCGTTTAAATTTTCGATTACTGACTAGAATTCTCTTCTTAGGTAAGATAACGAATCAGTTTCTTCATCTGCTTCGTTCTCAAATTAACACAGGTTAAAACGTGGAGGGGCGAAGTCAGCATCTAAGTTCTCAGGGTTTAAAGACATATACTTTGTTTAAAATATTTTTTTCGAGATAAAAACGAGTATTTGATTTTTGATTTGATTTTTTTTGGTCCCTACAGTAGGTTATGGACTGCAAATTGACCAATCGCAGGGTGAAAACAGTCTTAATTAGCCTTATAATAACGAGTGATTTTTGTCTTCCCATTTGCAATAATAAGTAAGTATGGTATAAGACGCAGACGTCGTAGTAACGAAGTGCCAAAGGACCGTAAGTTAATTACAACAGTACCCCCGTACGCCCGTTAAAATTAGTACATTCTCCCAGTCTACTGACAGCTCGTTGTATCGGCATTCCGATCTACAAAATACTTTTTTAAAACAACTTGACTTTAACAGCCGTGTAAAGGATTTAATATACAGTTATTTCGAGAAAGGTTGACGGAAAAACTGTGAACGCGACAATCCCGAAAGGTAGTATGGGATGTGATCAATACACTGTTCCTGACACTGTAGCTGTTTAGCCTATTCTAGTTGCTTTCCTTTAGCCCATGCAAACATACGTTCATGGCCTCTCCTGCCACTCTTTCAAATTTCCTTGAAAAACAGTGAACTAAAAACCATCCACAATGCTTTTCGGGATTGTCGCGTGTACTTTTTCCGACAACCTTTCTCGAAACAGCTGTATGCTAAACGAAATAGCGGAATGCAAGTTATAAATATGGATTAATTGCTAGCGAAATTGCAGGAAAAAAAGCCCGCGCTTCCGATCCCTTCTCCCATGAATGAGAAGTAATATTGGATCGAGTGAGCTTGCTTAACCTTCTCGTTACTGCAAAAGTATGTGACTGTTTTCACTGTTACACAGTAACAACAACCATTTGAACATTTTCGTGGGTGTATCTGGGTAATTTT